CATGATAGTTGCCGCAACACTGATGCCTTCAAATATGCTGGACAAAATCTTGCCTGGATGGGTTTCTTTGGTGATGTTGATCATGCTGAGAAATTGAAGGAATCTGTTGAAATGTGGTACTCTGAAGTTAAGGACAGTCAACAGGCTTATATTGATTCCTATCCTAATGGCTACTCGGGACCGTAAGTTTTATAATATACTATAGTTTTCTTTCTTTTTCGCATAATTTTTCTTTCATATTTAGTGCTATTGGCCACTTCACTGTCATGATGGCTGATCGTAACATTCGTGTGGGTTGTGCTGCTTCCATGTACACTGAAGGTGGTTTTAAGAATTACTTGGTTGCTTGCAACTATGCCACCACCAACATGATCAACTTCCCCATCTATGCTAGTTGCCAACAGGCTGGTACCTCTTGTACCACTGGCACCAATCCCCAATATCCCAACTTGTGTTCCGCCTCTGAAGAATATGCCGTCAACAAATGGTTTTAAATGATTGTAATCGGTTTTTGAAATAAACATTCCCATTTAAATTCGCAAGTTTATTAATGGTTTTATTTAAGAGTTAATGGGGTTTCCAAAGATGCCGGTTAATAGAAATGTTATTTATCCAATTTGAAAAAGTTTTTCGAAATAAGGACATAATTTAAATTCAGTTATAGATTACACTAAAATGTGTTGAAATTTTTCAAAAAATTTTCTATAAAAATTGAGATTTTCAAGAATTTTCTATACAAAATAGAAATTTTTTGAAAATTTTATATTAAAATAGAAATTTTTCGTAAATGTTCTTTACAATTTACAAAAATGTTCTTTATAATAGAACAGAATAATTTCCAAATTTTTTTTATTAAAAATGAATTTTTTTTAGTTAAAGACATATTTCCAAAATTTTTTTTATTAAAAAAGAATTTTTTTTAGTTAAAGACATATTTCCAAAACTTTTTTTATTAAAAAAGAAATTTTTCCAAAAATGTTCTATTAAAATATAAATATTTCCAACAATTTTCTGTAAAAATAGAAAATTTTTTTCAAAAATTCCAAAATTGGAATATACCAATTTTCCAAAAATTTCTATAAGAAATAGAAATTTTCCAAAAATTTCTATAAGAAATAGAAATTTTCCAAAAATTTCTATAAGAAATAGAAATTTTCCAAAAATTTCTATAAGAAATAGAAATTTTCAAAAATTTCTATAAGAAATAGAAATTTTCAAAAATTTCTATAAGAAATAGAAATTTTCAAAAATTTCTATAAGAAATAGAAATTTTCAAAAATTTCTATAAGAAATACCAATTTTCCAAAAATTTCTATAAGAAATACCAATTTTCCAAAAATTTCTATAAAAAATAGACATTCTATAAGAAATAGAAATTTTCAAAAATTTCTATAAGAAATAGAAATTTTCAAAAATTTCTATAAGAAATAGAAATTTTCAAAAATTTCTATAAGAAATACCAATTTTCCAAAAATTTCTATAAAAAATAGACATTTTCCAAAAAATTCTATAAAAAATAGAAATTTTCTAAAAATTTCTATAAAAAAAAATAGAAAATTTCCAAACATTTTTATAAAAAATAGAAATTTTCCAAACATTTTTATAAAAAATAGAAATTTTCCAGAAATTTCTATAAAAAATAGAAATTTTCCAAAAATTTCCTTAAGAAATAGAAATTTTCCAAAAATTTCTATAAGAAATAGAAATTTTCCAAAAATTTCTATAAAAAATATAAATTTTCCAAAAATTTTTATAAGAAATAGAAATTTTTCAAAATGTTTAAAATTTTTTGAAAAATTTCAATAAAAAAATAAAAATTTTCTATAAAAAATAAAAATTTTTAAAAATTTTCTATAAAAAATATTAATTTTTAAAAATTTTCTATAAAAAATATTAATTTTTAAAAATTTTCTATAAGAAGTAGAAATTTTTAATGAAAATAATAAATTTTCGAAAATTTTCTATTAAAAAAATTAATTTTCAAAAATTTTCTATAAGAAACACAAATTTTCAAAATTTTCGAAAATTCTCTATAATAAAATTACATTTTCGAAAATTCTCTAGAAAAAAAGTCAAAAATTTTCTAATAGAATAATAAATGTTATTATATTTTCTATAAGAAATATACATTTTAGATAATTTTCTATAAAAAATATAAATTTTCTGTATGAAATGGAAATTTTCTAAAAATTTCTGTAAAAAAAATAAAAAAAAAATCTATAAGAAAAAGAAAATTTCGAAAATTGTCTTTAAATAATAAAAATTTTCGAAAGAAAAAGAAATTTTCGAAAACGCTTTATAAAATTCTTACAAAGACAGAGAACCGTTATTTTCAAATAACAAAATTTAGATATTTTATACTTACTACTAAAAAATACAACCCTTCTAATGTGTATAATGTTTTGTGGAAACAGCTGTTTTGCCATACACACACGTCATACCGTATAAAATCCACAACATAAAATTTAACAAAATCATTGTGAAACAAGTTTTTATTTTGTATTTACTTCTAGAAAAACAAATAAACACAAAAATTCTTGAAATTGTTTTAAATTAATAATTACCACCATTTCAATATGGTGTATATAGATCGGAGTAAGTGAAAAAGATTGAATAAATAAGTGGAATTAACTAAATCGTAGAGATAATTTAATAAGAAATTAAACTAAATGACGTGTGTTTTAATTTACAGATGGTCGTGTTTTAGAAAAACGGCCTTGGGACCTAAACCGTGTTAAGGAAATTTTCACGGCTATATGGGTTGTAGTGCTGCAGTTGTAAGTTTTAATTGTTAATTTCCAAGAAAACAAATGAATAATCTTGTGTTATATCTAGCTTCGCAACACTATTTGCCCCTTTCCAAGCGGAAAATCGTGGTGGCAATCGCAGCAATGGCCGTGGCAATAGTTGGGGCTCCGGCGGTGGTGGAGGAGGAGGTGGCGGCGGAGGCGGTAGCTCTGGTGGCAATGGAGGGCTACGTCCCAACCGTCGTATAGGCCGTGTAGTGAATTCAATGGATTGTAATATCCCTGGTGGGGGCGGATGAGCAAGATAAAGTGTCCAAGCTTGAGCTTAAAAGCAATGTCTAGTTTCTTATTTAGAAATTCTCATCATAAATAAGATCTGATGAATGAGAAAACATTGCTTGCTTGGACACAGCTGAACCCCCCTCATAGTCAGTCTCTATTCATTTTAACAGCAGCCATGTGAATAACAATTTTTATAAATGTAGAATTATAGCTCTTTTTGGCATTTTATTGCCCTTATGATGAATCACTTGTAAACTCTATATTGAGGGAAGTGTTTCGGAAACTTTTTAAGAGTTGTAATTCTTCTATAAATTTTGTGAGATTGACTTTAGTTTAATTTTATATTTAATATTTACATAATAATTTTTCTTGGCCATTTATTAAGAAACAAAACCTTGTAATACTTTTTTCGAATTATATTGACATTATTTTTTTGGTGTTTATAATAAATAAATTTTTGGTGTAAAATTGTAAAGAAATTAAATTTTATTATAAATCGGAACTTTTTGCAAAAGATTTGAATAACAGGAGAGTTTTTCGCAAATTTTAGAAGAATTTTCTATGACAAAATTATTGAAATTTTCTATAAAGTTCGATATAACAGAAATTTTCGAACATTTCTTATAAAAAAAAGAGACATTTATTATTAAAAAAGAGAGTTTTTATAAAATAACAGATATTTAAGCGATAAGAGATTTTCGAACACTTTCTATAAAAAAGAGATATTTTCGAAAATAGTTTATTAAAGAGAAATATTCGAAAATTTTTTATAAAAATGAGAAATCTTCGAAAAATTTTCTATAAAGAAGAGAAATTTTTGAAAATTTTTTATAGAATGGGAGATTTTCAAACATTTTCTATAAAAACTAGTCATTTTCGTAAAATTTTTTTTAAAAATTACAAATTCTTGAAAAGAAAAGTATAAAAAAAGAACATTACGACAATTTTTTATAAAAAATGCAATTTACGAACATTTTTTATAAAAATTTTTTTATAAAAAATTAAAATTAGAAATTTTCTATAAAAAGATAAATTGTCTAAAAACGTTTATAAAAAAAACGAAATTTCGACAATTTTCTATAACAAAAGAGAAATTTTCAAAAATGTTCTATAAATAAAAGAACTTAACAATTTCCAAAAACCATGAATTTGTAGTAAATTTTTTTTATACAAATAAAAATTTTCTATAAATAATTAAATTTTTAAAAGTAAAAAAAAAAATTAAAACTTAAAAAATCTATTAAAAAATAATAAAAAAAAATAATTTTTTATGAAAACAAAAAGTACCAAAAAATTTCAAGGGGATCCTATATTTTATGTTTCTAGGATCTATAATTCAGAAAATCAAAAAAGTACCAATTGAATGATGAAAAAGTACCAGAAAGTCTGCTTTTATAGATTTTCGTTCAATCAATATGAATTCAAAAGTTTTCATTCATTCAGGACTCTGAATGTTTAATTTCAAGTTTCTATGTTCAATATTAAGGAAAATTCAAAAGGCACCTTTTCAAAAACGAAAAAGTACCCTCTTATATGTTCACATTTACTCCGGGCTATAATTGGTTAATTTCATGTTTTAGGTTCAATATTATAGAAAATACAAAAAGTACCTATTGAAGAACAAAAAATAGTCCTTCATCAGTATCCTATATTTTATGTTTCTAGGATCTATAATTCAGAAAATTAAAAAAGTACCAATTGAATGATGAAAAAGTACCAGAAAGTCTGCTTTTATAGATTTTAATTCAATCAATATGAAATCTTTCAAAAATCTTCAAAAAAAAGTCCTTAAAATAAATTTTTCCCCATCCCTGCTTCATTTTCCAAACACATTTTTTCATCTCTGATTTTGGCAATAACAAAACAATAACAACACACAGCTTTATAAGTAACCTGTTGTTCTTTAAGAACTTTTCCTGAAAATAGATAATCTATCGACTATTTTCATCAAATATTTTGTATAAACAATGGTCAAGTTCTCAGAATGCTATTTCCGATTAATTAAAATTTATTTAACAATTTTCTATTTAAACACTAATAATAACAATTTACAATGTAATTTCTATCCCTATGTTAACATTTTCTTGAAAATCTACAATAATACTTGATTACATGGAAATCTTTAACATTTTAAATTAAATTTTAACATTTGTCATTGGATAACCTTTGACACCCAAGCCGGTAACTTTAAAAACCGAACCACAGGGAGGTGGAAGGTCACCTTCATTAGCGGTGGTCACAAATAAAATATCCAAATTGGGTCCACCAAAAGCCACAGAGGTAACATGCAAGCAAGGTATTTTAATTTCCAATAAAATTTTGCCCGTACTATAAACAAAACAAAAAAATAACATTAATTAGACTTATAAAAACCTTGTTAAACTTACCTAGGATTAATTTTATATACCGCATAACCATTAAAAGTGGCCACATAAATATTGCCCTCGGTATCAATGGTCATGCCATCGGGTAGTAAATGATTTTTAGTGGTATTTTTACGGAAATCCAAAGTAATTTTGGGTTTATTAATATCTGTTAGAAATAAATTTATAATTATAAACATAAATTAGTGCAGTTTATAATCAACCTACTGATTTGTCCTGTGTTCACATCATAATCATATTCCTTAACCTCAAAATCGGCGGTATCAGCAAAATAGAATTTCTTTAGTTTATCATTCCAAGTCAAACCATTCGAAATACCCACGTCGGATTTAATTATATCGATTTTACCTCCCTTTTCATATTTATACAATTCACCCCAACGATGTTCATATAAATCACCCACATGACGCATAGTACCAGCAAATAAACGTCCTTTTGAATCACATTTACCATCATTCAAACGAATACTCTCATTACGATCATTACCCATTTGTACCTCGAAGAGAGTAGAAATTGGTTTTGCTGTAGGAGAAACACCATCCCAGCGCACAACTAGGCAACGACGTCCACAACCCACAGCGAATTGATCGCTGGTGCCCTCGACTGGTATAATATAACTAGCATATTCTTCTCCTTCTACTTTAGCTTTATAAACTTTATTCTCTTTATAGCTGTAGCGTAAAATTTTACCAGCATTTATGTCGACGTAGTATAAATTTTGACTGGCAACATCCCAGTGTGGACCTTCGCCCATATCGGCTAAAGATCCTTGAATTTCTTCAACTTTATACGACATCTGAAAGATGGATTTGCGGTTAAAAAAATGCCACATGATAGTTTGATCTCGAATTGAGAATGAAATGAAATTAGAACTTTTTGTGAAGATGTATGCATGATGGATTTTTTATCAATTCAAGGATTTTGGAAAAATTAATCAACGTTAAAAACCAATTTTTTAAATTTTTAAACATAAATTTAGAAAAAACTTCTTAAATTAAACTTAATTAACAGATAACAAAAATTACCACTTTACAATGTGAAACTTGTTTATTAATAACTACTGCATTACAAGTAGTATTTAAAATTGTTATTAGAAATACCACAAAACTTAAAATAGATGTAAGAGTCAACATTTTTTATAGTTTGAAGGTGTAAACTGAACTAAACTGCTTGAGTATCGAACTATTACTAAGCAGTCTTGCAGTTTATTAAAGTAATAAAATTGCAATTTGATTGTATCTTTGGTTAATTGGAATTTTGTAGTTCTAGTAAACTTAGCATATTTGAATGTAAAGAGAAGGTGGTAGACCAATTCTCCTTCGTCATTTTACTCTAATTACACAGGACATCAACATTTGTACTTTGTAAGTAGTGTAAAAGGGCGGTACACTCGAATCTAGCCCAAGAATTTCTCTCATCAAAATTGTTATATCATCTGAAAGTCCAGTCTGTTTACTTCAAAATAGGGGCTTAATCTCTGTTTTATTTTAATTTTTCTTCCAGATATCTTCACCTAAATTTTGAAACTATAAATACAAGAGATTTTTAAACAATTTAAGCGCAGCTCAATCTTTTAGAATTGTATACTTTGGTTTCTGGGTTAAAAGTTGACCTGTGTTACTTAAGAGAAAATTCATATCCTACTATGCTCTCTGTCCCGTTAGAGCCTCAACCAACGCCCTCAATTTACCAATTTTAGCCAATTTGTCGGCCTCGGTGACATAGTGTCCAGAGTGTTCTGATCTAAGCCGGTATTGATATAGAAATCTCAGCATCAATGACGTTACATTGATCATGTAGCCTAAAGTTACCTCTCCTGATGCTAGGGATGTGAAAGCATTGACTTGAACCAATGTGTATGGTCCTGCCCTATATCGAAATGTACACATGGCCAATGTTTCCTAGATCCCAAGCGCCTGTTTAAATTATACATTTTTATACATAAGATCAGCAGGCATTCAATGCAGGGCATAACAAAGGAATACACTTGACTCTGATGTAATCATAATCGCTGAAATTCGCTGAAATTCTTTTTAATAATGTTGCGATCGGGATACCAAACGAGTACTTCATACATTAGAGTGATTTTTGTAGCAAAATCCTTCCTTATTTAATTCATTCTGCAATTCCATGGCAGTTTGAAACCCAGATATTTGGCATTGTTAGATAGTTGAGAGATGTAAGTTGATATCTCGATAAGTACTTCATCGTCTAAGTTGACTTAGTGACGTTTTAAAGGTATTGGGACACGTTAGTCAGATGTTTAATAAAAATTACCATATCTACTCCATCCGCATATGCTAGAGTTTTACACATCATAAATACAAGATCTGAAATAATTCGATCTAGTACACGGGACCTTTTCCATTTATGAATGAATAGTATCACAAGATTTTACGCAGCCGATTAGTCTCAGTACAAAAAGTCCTCTATAGTTCATATAAAGTGTAGATCAATGAACATTTCAAAGGATTTCGAGTGGAAAAATAACAGACTAATAAGCTTGAAATCCTTTGGTCTAGTATGCAGGGACTTTTCTCCAATAATCAATTTCTGGTCCAGGACTGCAGTATCCAGAGATACATATATAATGTCTGCTCATTTATATGGCTTTCAACCTTAATATCCGTGAGTAGCACAGTACGTCCTACAATAAAATACAAGCTGATAGGAAGCATCAAACAAAAGCTTCATTGTATCTCTTCCTTCTTCTATCAATACTCCAATGACAACAATTGAGAATCACAAGATGTTACACAGCCAATTAGTATCTACGCCACTACTGAAAGTCCTCCAAGATTTCCGTTTTGCGTTACTTATATGATTCCTAAACTATTTGCATCAATAAAAATACAGCCACAATCTCTACGATAGTGCGAAGATCGGGACACCATCATAGTGGTTTGATCCTGAAACTGCAGACGCTTCGTCGGCAAGTTTTTGAGATAAGTCTGACAAACGCTTATTGTTATTGAGTTGACCACAGTCTCAATGTTTCGCTGATTCGAGATATCCGGCGGCTTTTTCCCATAACGCAAATTAACTGTAATTAATTAATAAAACAACCGCATTGTATGTGTTTTCTATATAAATTTTATAAAAATATAAAAAATTGTCTTTTTTATTGCACTGTTTTAGCGGAAGAACAAGGCCAGATAAAACAAATTGAGTATATATAGAGAAATATATAACAATAAAAGATTAATGCTTAACTACGTCCTAAATGAAATGACCCCAATTTAAAGTTGAATTTTGGTCATAGGATGACCCTTAGCACCCAAGCCAGTGACTTTGTAGGTGGTGCCAGCAGGATCGGGTTCACCGAAACGAGAAGAGGTGGTAACAAACAAAATGTCCAAATTGGGACCACCAAAAGCAGCGGAGGTGATTTGTTTGCAGGGGAACTTGATTTCCAACAAAACTTGGCCAGTGCTATAAAAGAGTAAAAATATAAAATTAAAGAAAATATATAAACTTAGGAAATTTTGAAAACTTACGTGGGATTGATTTTATAGATGGTATAACCATTGAAAGTGGCTACATAAATGTTGCCCTCGGTATCAATGGTCATGCCATCGGGCAATAAATGATCCTTAGGGCTGGTTTTGCGTAGATTGAAAACTACTTTGGGATTGGCTAGAATTTTTATAAGAAACCATTAATTAAATGTTCAGTTTTACATTTTCGTGTTATATTAACTTACAGGCCTTGCCAGTTTCAAAATCATAATCGTATTCCTTAACCTCATAATCGGTAGTATCGATATAATAGAATTTCTTGGTTTTTTCATTCCAAGCCAAACCATTAGAAATACCTACATCCGATTTGACTACCTCAACCTTGCCACCCTTTTCGTATTTGTACAATTCACCCCAACGATGTTCAAATTCATCGCCGACATAACGCATAGTACCGGCAAACAAACGACCACGAGGATCACATTTACCATCATTGAAACGATTGCCTTCAAAACGTTCCTCACCCATTTGTACTTCGAACAAAGTCTTCAATACCTTAGCCGACTCAGAGACACCATCCCATTGTACAATGACCACACGACGACCAGAACCGACAGCAAATTGATCGGTGGTACCTTCGACAGGTACCACAAAACCAGCTAAATCCTCGCCTTCAATCTTAGCCTTGTACACTTTATTTTCATTGTAGTTGTAACGCAACAACTTGCCGGCATTAATGTCAACGAAGTACAAATTTTGGGTGGCAACATCCCAGTGAGGACCTTCGCCTAATTCAGCATGAGAGTCGGGAAGAGGTTCAACTTTGTAAGACATCTACAAGGGGAATAGCGACAAAAGACAAATGTAATATTTTTATGAAATGTGATGGACTCACATAAAAATGTTTTAATATTTATGTCGTATGGACCAAAGTGGGTGTGGAAATGTTTTATGTTAGAAATAAAAAAAATATAAAGGTGATGGAAATGTATTTTAAAGTATTTATGAATAACCTTAACCATTCTGCGATAACAACGATTTAATTAAATGATAACTTTTGAACCTAATAATTTTCACTTATAATAAATGTAATCATAATTAAGTATATTGTTTGTTAAACTTAAAAGGTTTTAGCGATAACCTGAGGAAAACATGTTTGTTTATAAAACTAAAATTAATAACAGGTGCTAGGGAAATTATCTGTAAGATTAGTGGATTGAAAATGTTTAATATTGTATGCTATCTATTCCAACATTAGATTTCGAAAATCCGAAAAGAAATTTGGAGAAATGGTAGACAGAATTTCAAACTTATTTGCATCTTTATTACTCTGGTAACGAAGGTTTGTCGTACAACTTGAGTTAATGCAAATTTCAGAAAATTAATTTAAAGATACGTTCACAATGATAGAATACTCTAATCTGGCGTGATTTAAAACGAGATAGTCAAATTTAAAATATTGTTGGTTAAAGAAAAAGAAATACAATTTGCTGGAACAATCTATCATTATGAACTTAGCCTAATATAAGATTATAGAATGACATTAGAATAGGAAGATAAGTAAATATTAAGCTTTTATTTAGGTTTGAAAAATCTTTGAGAATATAAAGCCACACACGAAAACCAGTGATAGGTGCAAAGAGAGAGGTAGATAGAGAGAAATCCGCATTTATTATTCTTTTGATTCGCGAAAAATCGATTAAGAGAAAACAACCTGTACTGTAGTTTCTGATAACACAAATAAAAGCTATTTAAACATTTAAATTTTTAATCTCTATTAAAGTCAAGAACTAAATATTAAACTGACATCATAAAAAGTGTTTAATGTTTCAATTTACTAAAATTAAGCAGTTCCAATATGAATCCTATTTCTCAGTAACATCCAATGGTTAGATTTAAAAAAGGCTAAAAATAATGCACTCTGAAACGTAACCTACTGTACCCCGCGTAGTCATCCCATTCATCAGATTCTTATGCAGGATACACCTTCGTGACAAATCTGGATGAAATTTCGATGTTTAGGCTAGGACATCTAGATCCTCATACCTCATAGATCCTCAAATCTCGACCGATTGTATACTGTAAGAGCTTAAAAAACAACGCTTTCTGATGATCTGGTTAGCGAGAGACTACTTCTAATATATATAAAAGATTTACTCCACCAAACGGTTCTAAATCTACCTTAGCATCGATTGGTAATATTTCCTTAACCCTTAAATGCCTGAACGTTATATTGGTTTTAGTATGTTTTTGGACTAAAAAAGCTCCTGAAAGCACAAGGAACAAAAAATGAAGAAACCTCTAAAGTCGAAATTAGATTGCTATGGTGTAAAGATCTTCTATAGACGGTCTTAAGTGTTAAAGGTGGTTAACTGCTACCGTATACTTTAAATCGTTAACCTAATAGTGTTCAAAGTTCTTAGGATAATATCAATCAATTGTTCTAGTAGATCCTATTAGACTCATTACCGAGAATTGTTGCTGGCACTTTAAACTGTCAATCTTCTTATCTGACAAATTCTCACAATATTAATTATTCAAGTGACCCAGTAGTTCCACTAATTGAAGCTTCCTTGACCTTTAGTTAAGGCTAACATAAAAGGACCTTGTTGTCGACCAGTAGCAGAGGCCGTCAAGTCCGCTGAAAATGAGTCGACTACTATTCTTTAAGCTAGTTGTGGAAAGAAGGGGAACGTCTTAAATGAGAGCAAAACCTGGGATACGACTAGTCTCTCGCTTCTAGATTAATCATGGCAGCTTAAATAACTTATTTCTGAAGTATAATAAAAAGCAAGTTTCAAGAGTCTACTCTTTAGATAACTTGGGGATAGTAAAGTGCAATTGACTTCCTTTCCGCATTACTCTTTTGACACATTCGTAACGAATAACACAATACATACGAATTGACGTCAACAAAGTGGCTAGACTTTAATGGAAATTACTGTTATTTACGGGTGCATTGACTCCTTGTTGAAGTGCCGGGGCGTTTTTAATCACAATTGAAGATTCATGTTATGTTTGTGTAAATAACGCTCCTACTTCGGGTCAATGTCTGACCTTCATCGCTTAAAGCTATGTCGTGTTAGTCAGAAATTTACGTTTGATTGTTATCAGTTGAAACAAAAGCCGACAAATTGTAACACTTCCCATTATCCGAAAATTCTCTTTTGGATAGACAATACTACACGCAATTTTCAGCGAATTTTTAAATTTGTATAAAAAATCAAATATTTTAAATATTATTTAATTTAAGAATTTAATAACATCACTAATTTATTAGGTATTTAATGTTTAATCCTTAGAGCGGGTTTTTGAGATGGTAATCAAATGCCAATAAAGGTATTTTTAGACTACAATACTGAGTATTAATACTTGTCAAAAATTTTTGTATCATAATACAATTTACTAGTCTAAATATAATTTGTAATTTGATTTTCAAAAATATTACTGATTTTTTTGGCATACGGTCGGTATTCATAAATTTTTTAAAACAATTCAAAAACTTTTTATTTTCAAACGTATTCGGTATGTATTTTATAAATACAATAAAAAACAAACAAAAAGTGTAAAATACATTAAAAATAAGAACGAAAAGTGCATAAATAATTGAAAATTGGATAAAAAATATTACAAATATTATAGTGTAAACATAAAATGTATTTTTCGGATTGATTTTTTGAAAATGCGAATTATTTTCATAATATTTTTAATTTGAAGTGTGTTAATACTCAGTATTGTAGTCTGAAAATACCTTTAATAATCAGATTAGTTAATCTAAAAATAAATTTAATCTTATGTTAATCCCCTTTGATGTTTTTGAGTACATGATTAAACTTCGCAGTGTTGCCATATAAAACAACAGAAAACTTCACTGTTTGTTATCAAAACAATGCATATTTTATAAAAAGAAGAAGACAATTGTAAATTTAATATGAAAATTAATGAAAACTTAAAAACAAAAAAATGTATTTTGATGTGTCCATAATTTATAGTAATTAATAAATAGAACATTTTAATGTTTATATTTATAAAAATTTTTTTTGCATCAGCTGTTTACACTTTTGCATTTCGTGCTTAAGATTAAACCACCTCCATTGGGCGCTTAAACTTGCAAACAAAATTAACTAATTGAGTACTCAAAAACATCTTTCGAGGATTAATTTTAATTTAATCGCTAATCTTTCACCTAAAGATTGGCCCTTAATCCACATTTGTCATGGCATTGACACATTTATTGGATTTAAAAAAAGAACTATAAGTTTTCCTGCTTTCAAATATTTACAACATCTGTGTTTATACTTTTATTAAGTTTATAAAAAAACGCTTATAACTTAGTAACTGTTTTTTTTTTTTTTTTTGTTTAAATTATTAATTCAATTAGATTTTCTAAATATATAACTGCATAATCATATAACACCTGGTTAAAATTGTATTATTTATTTATGTAGATAAAACTCATTGATTTATGTCAACAGTTGTTTAATTAAAACAAATAAAAATAAACAATGAAATGTTATTATTAATTAAGACGAATTGTATGGCAGCTACTTAAGATAATTTTAAAAGGTAAGACAAAATTAAAAGCTGGAACTGTTCTTATTTAAGAAACAATTACTAAAAATAAAACTAGTTTTATTTAACCTAAAATTTGCATGACTCTACTATGTTATTGACTTTAATTTTTTATTTAATTATCCACAAACAATTGAAACGAAAAAATTCTTAAATATTTTGTTTTTATTACCGTTTTATTAACACTACTATTCGTTATATTAACTTCCATTGAAACTTCTTTATGACCATTGCCATAAGTCTCTCTTATGCCAAATATACTTGAAAGTAAGACCACAAAACACAATTTAAAACTTTGAGTTAACATTTTCATTACGATTGTTATTATTCTAGTTTTGGCACGAGATCAAGAAACACAACAACTATTTAAAGCCCCTTAAGAGAACCGTGTTTTCAAGACAACTTTATCGTTTGTTCGATCGTTTGCAACTAAAGTATCTGTTAGGTTTTTAAACTGTATTTATGAAATTGTGATGAGTTTGAGCAGAGATTTAATTTTGCAATTTGAGTAAAGGGCAGAGATTAAATTAACTCTTAAGGAGAGTAAATTAATTTGAATTTTTATTAAGCAATGTTTAGAATGTTAGAAATTTCGTTTTAATTAAGTTTTCTTATAAAGATCAATAGAAATTTATTTGTATTAATTTTAGTTTAGTGGGAATGTATATTAAAAATTAATTGTATGAAATTTATATGAACGGGAAGGAAATTTTTTTCAGTCATTTAATATTTTCAAAGTGTATCTAGTTCTTTCCCTATACCCTTCACTATCGTAAGAAATTTCGTATAATTTCTATGACATAATTTTCCGACCCTATAAAGTATACTATATATTCCAAATCCTTATAGATAGCAGATTCTATTTAGCCATGTCCGTCTTTCGTCCGTAACTGGGAGATCCGAATCTTCAATAATTCTATCAAACATACTTTCTAAAAGATCGCTATTTAAAATCACCAAAATCTATCCATAAATAACGGAGATATGACCCAAAATCTGAGACAAACTCTGAAAATTTCATTAGAAAAACTAGCATGTTTATGCATGCTTTGACAAAAAGAAAACACAACAACAAAATACAGCATTTTGTTCAGGACTTAATTTGCTTATTTATAAAAATAAACAACAACAAGTTTTATATGAAGCTGTGTGTTGTTTTGTTACCGCCGAAATCAGGGATGGATAATTGTGTGTGGGCAGTAAAGTAAACTGTGTGTGGGAGTAAAAGCCGAAGTAAATGAGAACCTATAAAAGAGGACTTTTACGTTCTTTAAAAAGTACTCTTTTTAATTACCTATAATATTAAACCTAGAAGCTTAAAATTGGTACTTTTTCGTTTTTCAACTGGTACTTTTTGGGTTTTCTGCAATATTGGACCTAAAAACATATAATCAGACATATAGGATTCTATTGGAATGAAAATATATAAGCAATAATTGTTTGGTACTTTTTCTTTAACGGGTACTTTTTAAATATTTTAATATTGAACTCAAAATTAAACACGCAACATAATGATTGAATGAAATTCTATAGAATGGGACTATCTGCTACTTTTTCAACTGATACTTCTTGATTTTCTGAATTATTTAACCTAACAAAATAAAATCATACATATAGGATACTTTATAGAATTTTTTATACTTTTTTGCCGATTCCTGGTGTAGACAATCGAATTCCAAATAATTATATATTATATTTTTTAATTCAAGCGCTCTTCAAAATTACTGAGAACAGATCCAATTAATGTATTCCGAAGGAAAATTTTGCAAAAAAAAACTTTATTTTTTTTTTATATAAACAATAAATAAAATTTTATTTTCCATTTGGAATCCGTAAACACAGCTTAGATTTTGTAATATTTGGAGAGAAACTCCTATGGACTAAATCGAAATCTGTAACAGATTTCAATAATTGGAATTTTTTAACCAAGAGTTCAGAAAATTAAAACTAGATTTTAAAAGTTATAATGAAAAACTATAATAATAACATTTGTGAGTCGTATGTAATTGGAAAAAAGATTTAACTTAACGTTAACCTAACTTTACGTTTAAATAATGCAGACTTTGTGCAAAAAGAATGTATAAATGTAAATGATTTCAATAAAACATAAAGTGAGGTTATGTTTGTGTTGTTAATGAAAGGACGCGTACTCCTTATAAATATTAATGATAACCAGATCCAAAGTGAGGAAGTACTAAAGTGTGAAAACACAAATTCACAAATCGAGTTAAAATACTTTCACCATTTTTTTTTTGGGAAAAAAATTAATAACTCACCCATTTTTTATAATATTGTTATAAATTTTAAAGAAGTCAACACTTTGTAGTATTTTTTTTTTTAAATCGCACACAAAAATTACCGACTTAAAAACTGACTTAAACGAAAAGATTTCAGAATTAGGCGCAGTTTTCAAAAATTAGAAATGCTTTCTGAAAAGTTCAAAATAGGTTTTGCAAAAAGTTTAATAACATTTGCGAGATTTGCGGCAGGAAATGGCTCAGATATCAGGATATTGGAAACGATTTTCTGTTTGTACGTAGAATGTGCGAAAAGTTCAATAATGTTTAATAAAGAATTTACTGCAGGATGTGGCTCCGATACCATGATAACGTCAAATTTTTTTTTGTCATTTCAAAAAATTATATATAAAAATAAAAATATTAATTTGAAACGATTTCGAAGACCACAGAACATCCAGCGAGAAATATATACATATATTCTGATAAGAATATAACATATATATATTTGTAGTGATATTGATACTTAAATTATTTCCTTTTTGCCAATTCATGTAATTCAATATTTGTAATTTTTATATAACAATTGATTTTTGATAAAAATAGTTAAAGAACGCATATTATTAATTTCACAACTATAGATTTTTTTATAAAATTTTTTAATACCCCATATTATATATAATTTGTTAATCCTTTACAAACTTAAATTCACTTCCTTTCATTTCACTCACTTTAACACCATATCTTTTAATATAATTACTCTCTATATGACTTTTTCCTCAAAAAAAAAAAATTCCACAATTATTTATTATAAAAAAATTCATACCTTTTTTGGTTTTTTGAATATTACAAACAACTACGAAATGAAATTATTTAAAAGTGGACACTTGAAGACGAGAATGTCAACTGATGATTGTAAATAATAATTGCAGATCTTTTATAGGAAAAATTTTATATTATTATATATTTCAAGTTGCCGGCTCAAAAAAACAACAAAAAAATAAAATATTGATATCAATTTAGCGTATAGAGTAAAGAATAAATAAAAATTCGTACTACAATGAATTTGTGGACATTAATGACAATGTGAAATATTTGTAGCGTAAATAAAATAATATAATTGTGATAAGACATTGTATAAGATTTTTTTTTTAACATAATTATAATTTGTATTTTATTATAATAGATGTATATTAGTGTTATGATGTAATTCAGCATAAATATCTTTTATATAAACATATATCCTTTCACGAAATTTTATAAGAATAGGACCTACGCAGATTTCTTAGGGTATCTATAATGAAATATACATACCTATACCACACAAAAGGTCTCAGCCTTTCTTTCTAAATCTGTTTAAAAATTAAAAATTGGTAGAGATTGTGCAAAGTTTTGTCTTATAAATGTTTAAAGGTAATGAAATCGGAATTTGTAGCCGTATCTCAATATTTTGGATTTGTTTGACAAATGTCAAACAAAATTTTGAAATGAGTTGTCATTTTGTTAATTAATGATTGGCCTCTTAATATAACTAACTACTAACTAACTAACTAACTAACTAACTAACTAACTAACTAACTAACTAACTACTAACTAACTAACTAACTAACTAACTAACTAACTAACTAACTAACTAACTAACTAACTAACTAACTAACTAACTAACTAACTAACTAACTAACTAACTAACTAACTACTAACTAACTAACTACTAACTAACTAACTAACTACTAACTAACTAACTAACTAACTAACTAACTAACTAACTAACTAACTAACTAACTAACTAACTAACTAACTAACTAACTAACTAACTAACTAACTAACTAACTAACTAACTAACTACTAACTAACTAACTAACTAACTAACTAACTAACTAACTAACTACTAACTAACTAACTAACTAACTAACTAACTAACTAACTAACTAACTAACTAACTAACTAACTAACTAACTAACTAACTAACTAACTAACTAACTAACTAACTAACTAACTAACTAACTAACTAACTAACTAACTAACTAACTAACTAACTAACTAACTAACTAACTAACTAACTAACTAACTAACTAACTAACTAACTAACTAACTAACTAACTAACTAACTAACTAACTAACTAACTAACTAACTAACTAACTAACTAAACTAACTAACTAACTAACTAACTAACTAACTAACTAACTAACTACTAACTAACTAACTACTAACTAACTAACTAACTAACTAACTAACTAACTAACTAACTAAATAACTAACTAACTAACTAACTAACTAACTACTAACTAACTAACTAACTAACTAACTACTAACTAACTAACTAACAAACTAACTAACTAACTAACTAGCTAACTAACTAACTAACTATCTAACTAACTAACTCACTCACTAACTAACTAACTAACCAAACTAACTAACTAACTAACTTACTAATTAACTATCTAACTAATGAACTAACTAATCGAAAGTAGGTCAATTGGGCAAGTCCATTTCTGAAATCAAGTTATAACCAAACTTTAATTTCAATAGTACTGGCTTAATTTTTGAAGAAATAAAGATATGTATAACTATAAGACACTTGATTCTAATAAGTGGGAGTAATGTTTTTAAAACTGTCAGGGTTTTCAAATGGTCATATTTCGATGTTTTTACTTTCCCAGAAACTCGCCTATAGGCGATATTAATTCAGGTACGAATTTGGATTTGTTCAACATAGGACATACTTATATCAAGTATGGATTGGACCTTAAATAAAGAACAACTTTTCAAAACATATTCGTGCTGAGATCACTTTGATCCCAAAAATGGATAAATCGCACTAAAATCAAGACTTTCGTATTTGGCTGATTTGTACTTGATTCTAGTAAAACCATACTTAGCGTACTTTTGAAACCGATCTGGATTGATTCAAGTACGAATTATTCGATAATTTTTTGAGTGTAGATTTAATCGTAAATATTTTATTAAGGAAATTTATTAATATTTAAATAATTTTCGAACAATTAGTCATTTTGAAAAATGAATGTCCGGTAAACTTTACGAACTGAATACTCAATAAAAGAATGTAACACTTCCTTAATCTTTATTTTAAAAATTTCTTTAAAATGGTTCGTGCTTACGGATTGAATCTGAATTTGAACGACAATAGTTGAACTAATATACACTCAGATAGGCCTAATGATTAATTAATCTATACAAGGAAAAATCCCAACAATTT